ACTCTTTTTTTTTTTTTTTTTTGGAGAGATTTTCACTGTAGGGCGCGTGCGCTCGCCAGACAGACAGAGAGAGACATAGAGACAGAAAGCGAGAAATCACCCCCCAGGGGGGATGGTCACGCCGCAATCCCTTCTCCTCCATTCTCCTCTTGGGATCTTGGGCACGCACGCACACGCGCCCGGCGTGAGTTTTAAGCCACCGGGTCCGGGACACGAACCGCGGTCGACTACATGGGAGTCCAGCGACATAGCCATTACGCTAACTGCTGGTTCCCAAGACTCTTAAAACACAGGTGTGAAGTGTACATTTTCTCAGTCTGGGACAGGTTTTTCAACTCCCATCTAGGAATGCCCTCCATCAAATCAGTTACTTTGGGACTCTAAGTGCTAATTCCAGTGAGAACTTCCATGGCTAAAATGACTTTACTTTCATTTGGGAACTGCCTTCATGACTTTACTCAAAGCACATTTTAACCTAACTCAGTCATCTATGTTATTCACCAGCTGGGTTATGCATGACTTTCAAGATGTGTTGAAAATCAAAACTGAAGATACCCTCTGAGCATGAGATTGACCTCTGAGAAAGGGATTCAGTAATGAAGGCAGTTCAAGTGAGACAGGTTCTTTAAGTGAGACAAGTTCTTTAAGTGAGACAGGTTCTTTAAGTGAGACAGATTTACTTTTTATTTATTTATTTATTTTTACATTTTTGCCATAGGGCATGTGTGCTCTGGAGAGGAGAGACAGAGAGGGGAAGTGAGAAATCAACCGCCCCCAGTGGGGATGGCCACACCACAATCCCTTCTCCTTCATCCTCCTCTCGGGATTTTGGGCATCCATGCACATGTGCCCAGCGTGATTTTCTTTTCTTTCTTGTATTTTTTTTTTTTTAAGAGAGAGATTTTTGTTATAGGACATGGGTGCTTGCCAGAGAGACAGAAAGTGAGAAACCACTCCCCAGAGGGGATGGCCTCACTGCAAACCCTTCTGCTTCATTCTCCTCTTGGGATTTTGGGCATCCATGCACATGTGCTCAGTATGAATTTCAAGCCTCTGGGTCCGGAACTTGAACTGTGGTCAGCCATGTGGAAGAGCAGCGACGTAATCATTATGCCATCTGCTGGTCCCTACCCAGGGTGATTTTTAAGTCCCAAAGTTCAGGACTTGAACTGCAGTTGGGAAGAGATAGATTCTAAAGGAGCAAAGGAAGCCATCACTGGAAATAATTCCCCTGAGATGACTATTTTGGGGGAAAAAATTCTGGAATAGTCATGGGCATATAACAAGCTTTTAATCACATTCTGAAAGATATGAGTTAATTCATATATCTTAAGAGAGATTACTTTTTTTAGACAAAAGGCAATTGGTTTCCTTTTAAGCTTTCTGAACATGCCAAATGAAGCTTTTTGCCCCTCCAAGCCCTGGATGCTAGTTCCTCTTCGGAGTGCTTTTCCCTTTCGCTTATACCAGGCCACAGCTGTTTCAGGAATTAGGGAGGCAGTCTTCACAGCCCGCTGTCTCTGTGGGCTTTTGATGAAGAATTCCCTATGGCAGCTGTCTGAGCAAAATGGACACAAGACAAGACTATTTCTATGCATTATTCTTATGGTAGATAGGAGAATTCCAACCAGAACCTCCCCAACCCCCACAAAATACCTTTTCTCCTCATTAGATTTTCAGACTTGTAATCACTTTAGGAATATGACACATTCTCTTTGCTGAAGTTATTTTCAAAAGTATACTTAGCCTGAGCCCTCAAAGCAATCAATCCTCATCCTCACAGGTGCTGGCTTCGTGTTACCTGGGACAGGGGGAGACATGGCTGCCACCCAGTACCCCAGCTGGGGGGCGATGTACGTCCACGTCAGCTGGCTGCCTTCCTGGTGCACGAGGCCCAGACCACTCTTCAGCCACGTTCCTGTGGGATTCACAAGAGAATTTCAGCCAGATATATGCCGAACTCCTATCTAAGGCTTAAGCAAATTCTAAGAGTCACTGTACATGTCAAGTTTATAACCAGTGAGAGAGCTGAGATGGTCACATGGGCAACTGGGGATTGCAATATAGCTTTCTGTAAAAATTCTTTTCAACTTCTCCTAAGGAAAGGATGGACATTTTCAGGTTTTTGTTTGTTTGTTTGTTGTTCTTTCTTTCTTTTTTTTTTTTTTGGCTATAGGGTGTCTGTCTCTGACAGAGAGAGAGAGAGCGACAGACAGCCAGACAGACAAAGAGAAAGTGAGAAATAATCCCTCAGGGGAAACAGCCATGCCACAATCCCTTCTCCTTCATTCTCCTCTTGGGATTTGGGCAGGCAAGCATATGCCCCATGTGAGTTCCAAGCTGCTGGGTCCAGGACTTGAACTGCAGTCGACCGTGTGGGAGTCCTGTGCCTTAATCACCATGCCACCCACTGACCCCAACATCTCACCTTTCAAAGATGAATAGTTTTAGCAGAAACCTTTGGAGTCCAAAAGTAGCCAAAGGCAGCATGATGGGGGTTGGTAGAAGTGGAAAAGAGTGAGGGGGAGCCCAGCTCTGTTTAAAACTATTATGCTTGAGCAAATCAGCAAATTTCCTGTCCCGAATCACATACTGGCTACATAAGAATTACCTAGGGAAGCCTCTCTCTCTCTCTCTCTCGCTCGCTCGCTCTTTCATCCAATATTAGTAAATTTTGACCCAGTAAGTCTGGCTTAGGTGGACATTTAAGAACGTTCTGATACTGGAGGTCTATACTTTATCTTTCAGTCATTTCTTTCACTAAAATTTCACATCAATATAGTAGGTACTTGCAGTACATGTGTCTTATACAGATTGTCTACAAGTCTCACTACAGCCCTGCAGAGTAGGACTCATTTTCTCTCTTTGGATGAGGGCACTGCAAATTGTTAAGTTCTAAAACTTCCCCAAGGGAGGCCAGCCAGTGGCATGGAGGTTAAGGTGGTTGGACCCATATGGCCAACTAAGGGGGAAGAGTCTTAGACCCAGCAGCTTGAAAAAATACGCTGGGCAAGTGTGTGTGTGTGTGTGTGTGTGTGTGTGTGTGTGTGTGCGCCCAAAATCCTGACAGGAGAAAGCAGGAGAAGGGGTTGTGGCATGGCCATTCTCCCTGCAGCCCAAAGAGTAGATTTCTCACTTTTTCTTTCTGTTTTCCTCTGTCTCTGGTGAGTGCATATGCCCTATAGGAAAAACTAACTAACTAAAACTTTCTCAAGGCTTCTCATGGTAGAGAGGGCAGGAAAGGAACCTAGGTCTGTCTGACCTCAGGCTGGTGCTATTTCTTTTGCCCTGTCATACATGCTGTGTTTCCTGTAAACCTCCCTGGCATTCGACTACTTTTTTCTTATAAAATTTCTATGAGTAGACACATTGAGAAGATAATCTCTTCTTTTTTATTTTTTTTGAGAATTTTTTTGTTATAGGGCATGTGCACTCTCTGGAGAGACAAAGAGACAGAAAGTGAGAAATATCCCCCAGGACTACACCATCTAGCTGGTCCTTTAATTATTTTTTTTTAAATAATTATTTTTATTTAATTTTATTCATTTATTTACTTATTTTAATTTGACCAGGGAGGGACAGAGTAAGGCAGAAAGAGAGAGAGAAAGTGAGAAAGTAGGCTGCCACATTTGGGACTCAAATCGTGGTTGGCCACATGGGAGTCCAGCATCCCAACCACTACACCACCTGCCAGCCACCCCATCCCCTTACTACATGAGTTTTAAGCCACCGGTCCTGGATTTGAATCCCATTGACTACATGGGAGTCTAGCAATGTAACCACTACACCATCTGCTGGCCCCAAGGAAGACAATCTTGTCCTAGGTTCTTGGGCTATTTCTCAACCAGAGATGAGCTAGTGGACAGGCCTGCTCACATGCAGAGGACCTTGCTCTGAGCCTGTGATGGCAGCGGTGGGTGGGAGGCAAGGGGGCTGAGAGCCCTTGCACACTCATGCATGCCCACTCTGACCCACCTGCATGGAGACACTGGTTGCACACAGCTCATCCCTCGTGTAACCAACACCGCCCAGAATCGCCACACCTAGGGCCCTATGGCACTCGTGGTTGCAATGGGCCAACTACCCAGCAAATATTCTATTCTGGTTTTCCAAATGCTTGCCCTTTTTGGGTATACACATCCATGAGGTGTATTTTCCCCCCTGAAGAAAGAGGAAACAATACTTGGGCTGCTTCTAAGCCCTATCAGTTACCATGGCAACACTCAGAAGCAGTGGGTGGAAAGGTGCCTGGATAATGCCTCCTGGAGCCCCGTCTCCATGCTCACTGCAGCTACAGGGTGGTGGTGGTGGTGGTGGTGGTGGTGGGGTGGGGGGAGGAGAGCCAGACAGCCGGAGGGCTGTGTCATCCCTGACCTTCCACGCAACAGGTTCCAGATGATTTCGGTTCAAGTTAGAGGAGAGAAGAAGCTAAAAGGTTTCTAAAAAGACTGTAAGAACAAGACACCCTCTTCGGATTCATTCCCTGAAGCCCACCAACCTGGAAATCCTTGAGCAACTCAGAGAATCAGTTAATTCTGCAGGGCTAGTGAGGACATGGATGCACACGACATTCGACACAATATGAAAAAGGATTTCTAAGCCGGGTAAGAAGGCACGCCTGAGGCAGAGGACAGACCACTTGTGGTTGTGCCCATCTTCCCCTCTGGGACCCCCCCTGATTCCGCTCCAGACTTCCACACCACATCGCCTCCCACAGGCTCTCCCACAACAGCCGCACTGTCAGGGTCTGAGTTGGCAGGATGTGGCTGCACATTCTTTGGTTTGCAGTTTTCCCCAGATTAGAATCCTGAGTCATTGCTCCTCAAACGGAGTGGATTCTAAGTTAGGCTGAATGGGACCCTCCGGAGACAAGCTGGAAGCCGAGTCCTAGCTCCAGCTCATTCATGAGTAAACACCAGCCTCCATCCCTAAGTTGCCTTTGTCTTCTACAACGCAAGAAAATCAATTGAAACAGACTTCTAAAATATCTGCAAGTTACATGCAGGACAAGCCAAGAGGAAGGGCACACTTGCACACACACAAACACACACACCCCACCTCACGAACAAGTCCCCAGGTCCAGCCTGGAAGACCCACTGTCCAGTAGTGGTAGCTGTAGTGCTGGGGGACTCAGAAAGGCCAAAGACTGAAGATGACACAGCGGCAAGGAGACAGTGTCACCCAGGGTAGGTGGAGAAGGCTTGGATAAGTTTAGCTCTCATGAATGAGCAGGGCTCGGGGGCACAGGGTGGGGAAGAAGGCAGAGGACGACATTCCACACCAAGGGAACAGCGTGCTCAGAGGCATGGAGTGGCGAGCATGTGAGATGCTTGGGGATGGGACAGAGGCAGCAGCTGGCGGAGGCTGGAAAGGAGTTTAGCATCTGCCTGGGAAGGGCTTCAAACGCCATTAGCCATGGAGGCCACCAGGGACCCATAAAGGGAGGCAGGACACCACCTGCTCCTTGGCCTCCCCTCAGTCCCTCCAAGTTCCTGCCAGGCCAGTCCTCACAGTACACACTTTCACTCAAGTCTGAGACTTTGCCTGCAATTATGGCTCGAAGGTCACATAGGTTTTTCCTCTTTCAAGTTGCAAATCAATCCATGCCATTTTTGGAAGAACTTCTAGTACACATGGATCTTCTACCTATCTGTAGGTGTTATTGTACTGATTTCCAGAAACACATGTAATCTGTGGTTCTTCTAGAGATATGCTCCGGGAGGGTGGGCCTTTTTTTTTTTTAAAGAATTATTTATTTTGAGACCAGCAGATGGCATAGGTTTTGTTGCTGGACTTCCACATAGTTGATAGTGGTTTGAGACCCGGACCTGGTGACTTAAACCTCACACCAGAAGCATGTGTGTGCATGCCCAAGATCCCGAGAGGAGAATAGAGGAGAAGGGATTGTGGCGTGGTTACCCCCCAGGGGGTGACTTGTCGTTTTTTGTACCTCTGTCTCTCTCTGTCTCTCCGGTGAGCACATGCATCCTATAGCAAACAAAACAAAACAAAACAAAAAAACGAAAACAACTCTCTTAAAATAAAGAATTATTTATTATTATTATTATTGTATTTTAAAATTTGCTATAGGTGCTCATTAGAGAAAAACAGAGAGAGAAAGAAAGTCAGAAAGCAAGAGGCCAGGTCCAGGACTCGAACTGTGGTCAGCCATGTGGGAGCCCAGCCTCCTTAACCACCATGCCATCTGCTGGTGCCCGGGGCCTGTGTTTTCTACTCTTTCTGTCTTTTTCTCAGCACCTAGAAATACCATAGAGCAGTCTTGATAATACTTCAAAGCCAGTGAAAGTTAGAGGTGCAATCCAAACAATACTATCAGGTAACCCTTCTGTGAAAAGTTGGGTCTGGCTGGCAGCAAAGTCATTCCTGTGGAAGTGTGAGTGCGACGGGGATGCGGTCCTTTCACACTAAAGGGAACGAATCCAGCTGGGGGAGAGTCATTTATTTTGGCACATGTTTCCTGTAAAATGCACACGTATCCAGTGACTAAGTGTGACACTGTTTTGAGATTCAACAATCATGCTGTTATTGGCAAAAGCACTTCCAAGCTCTCCATGTCTTGTGGGAGGAAATAAGCTTCAGGGAATATGAGAATTAATGAACTGTGTACTAGAAACATATGCTTCTCATTACTGGAATCCTGATGCTGCTACGGGATGAGGACCGTTTCCCACCTGAGCCGCGGGTGCTCACGTAAGGGATTCGTGTGCTCACGGCTGGGGAACGCTAGGGCTGTGTTCTTTACTGGTGGTACTGATGGCAGAGCAAACAAACCCCTGCAAAGTTCACTCTGCTACGTAAATGTGCTCACTGGACACTGGGACCAGGGAGCCTTTGCATCATGGGTAGAGGTCAGGCATGGCTCACACAGAACAAGGGAGGGACCATGTGGCTCCTACT